TTGAGGTATGTATTATCATGTCATGTATCCGCTTGGAATGGTCGCCGGTCCATTCTGGGTTCTAGTGGCCTAGTCTGCCCACTAGAGTGTGCACATAGTGTCCGACATTTTTATGCTGGCAGATGAGGTAACGGTCATGTGATGATTATCAGGTTATGATTATTCAGTACCGGTTTCATGTTCAGTTTATGTATGTGCCAGGATCATGATATTGCATTAATTTTCACTGTTTACTTTAGTATGAGTTTCTTACGGAGCACAGTGGCATGATATTGCAATATTTTTCACTGTTTACTTTAGTATGAGTTTCTTACGGAGCACAGTGGATTAAGTGCTCACGCCCCACAGTATTCATGTTTTTCAGGTCACAGGGACGGAGCCGAGGAGTGAGCTGGCGGTCGGTTCAGGATTTTGTCGTTATGTTTAAAATGTTTTGGTGACGCTACATTTTTCCGCTGATTACGACTATTTGTCGAACTTAGCTTTTGATCCGACCTTCAGTCGGTTAATATGTTATGTTAAACCGTTTTGTTTTTCTTTAAAACTAAAATGACGGTTTCCATATAAAGTCATGTTTTATGGTAGCACTCCGAATCAGTATTTCGCAAATTAAGTGTTTTATTTTGAAAAACTTTACGAAAAACGCACTCTGATTTTCATGACATAGCGGGGTGTTACACCAACTCTTCACTGGCCAAAAAGTTAACCTCCAAAATCCTCTATATTCTTTAGTAAAAACACCTCATCTCATGTCAAACATCCATTTGTGCAATTCTTAATGGCATCCCCATTTAACATTCCTGCAAATACTTGGGCTTACCTCTGTAAATTGGTCATTCTAAAAAGCAGACTTTCAATTATGTGGCTGATGTTGTAAAAACCAGGATCTTGAGCTAGTAGAATAAGCTTCTTTCCCCTGCTGGGAAAGAGACTCTCATTATATCAGTTCCCAGTGCATTGCCTGTATTTATTATGTCATGTTATATTGCATGTTTCAGTTCGTGATGAGATCAACAGGGTGATTGCTAAGTTCTGGTGGAGTAAAGATGACAACTGTAGTAAGGGGATGCACTGGAAAAGTTGGAAACTCCTATCTTTGCCTATGGAAAAAGGAGGGTTGGGCTTCTCTGATCTTAAAACTTTCAATGAAGCTTTGATCTTTAAATAACTATGGAGGATTCTCACTAAGCCCAACCTCCTCATGAGCAGAATCCTAAAAAATAAATACTTTCCCAGAGGCACTTTCTTTGCAGGAAACACCCCCCAAAGCAGTTCTTGGCTTTGGAGAAGCTGGATGAGAGCTTGCCCCTCCTTCATAAAAAATCTCAGAATGGTCATTGGGGATGACAAATCAACCTGCATTTGGGAACACCCATGGCTCCCCACTCTCCCAGACTTGAAACCTAAGAAACACCCTCTCGACCCACTCAACCTTTCCACTGTTAATCATCCTATGAACCTTGTAGACTGCAGCTGGAACATTGAACTTATCAGAGAAGTTTTCTCTGTTAGAGGTATGCTGTAAAAGCTGTGTTTTGCAGTTTCTATCAATTCCATTTTGATCTGGCAATCATGTTTCGGTCAAAGTACATATGTTTGCAGTTTATTTATTTATGCAATATATACTCCATGTCTTATATTGAGATAGTGTGGTTCGAAGAGTTTCGAACGGAAAGATCACCTATCGGTTCCTTATAAGACTAAACTATTTGTTCACAGTCTAGACTGGCAGTGAGACCCCACTTGGAAAAATACTGTAATGTATTCCCGATTCAGTTGGTCTTTGACTGAAGGATTACACTAGCACTTATGTTAAGTGTTGAACAGGACCACGGAAGGATAAGGATATGAGACTCACTTACCGTTGTCGTAACCTAGACCTTCAGTGATTGATGCGTTCTCTTAAGTTGTAAAATAATATAAAATAGGCATATATTATTATTTCTTATTTATTTGATTTACCAAGTGATTCCTATTCCGTTAGGATGACATACGAGATATTTTGGTAAGTAAGAATAATTATATGATGTGCTATTATAGATTATTTACAGTCACTATGTTCCAGTGTACTGGATTGATGGCGTCCCCGAAATGAGCTCAGAAAGGAACCTTATGTTAAACCCTGCAGGTAGACGAT